TGTCTGTTATTTATTCTCTCTCCCGCAGCACTGTACGGATATATGGAGAGGGGAATCGATTGGACCTGAAAACGTGATGTGCGTGCTTGCTAGATTTTGCAAGAAGAAACACCAAAGACCAAATGGAGGGAGAGCCCGTGGGGTTTAAGCTTTGTGTTTTTTATGTACTCCCTCCGTTCTAAAATTTTCTTCCCAAAGCATTATTCCAACTTCACGGGAATTTATATTTATTTGTGTTTTTTCATGGCCTATATGATAAAATAAAATATTCTTGTCACCACTTGTTTTGTTGAACTTTTGATCTAGTTTTTAAATATGTATGTTTTATTTTTTATTTCTATACCAATATTTAAATAAAATAGATTGAAAAAACTTGGGATTTTTCTTCGTTTTGCGCAACGGGAAGAAAGTTTTAGGACGGAAGGAGTACATACTCCCTCCGTCATTGAAGGCTACAAATTTGTAATGGATGCTCAAAACACTTAGCTAAAGAGATTGCATCAAAGTTGAATATTTAGGTAATTTCTTTTAATGAATTTATGTGAATATATTTAGGGAATATATATATGATGTTTTGCATATAGTAAGGGGGAATTTATTGCTATATGTGTTAATCTTTTTGTATGCTTTATTTTTTAAAGAGGAGATAACATACATTTAGGGGGAAGTATTTTTATTTCCTAAAAATGCATGATTTTAGGGGGAATGCGATTTTTCTTAAATGTTTAGATTTTTTTCTCCCCAGAATGCATGAGTTTTTTTGATGCATTATATTTGATAATGCCAAAAGAGGGGAAGAGTATAGGAGTACATGCTTTAATTTGTTATTTGTTGGTAGCATATCCTCCATGTGTTTGTCATTATCAAAAAGGGGGGAATTGTTTGAATGCAAGAGTTCAACCCTTTCTGTGTTGTTAAGTATTGACTTACAGGTTTTGATAATTGACAAACACAATTTATTCAAGTCAATATTAAGTGCTACAACGACAAACACGAAGTCTTGAAGTGCAAATTCCTTGAAGTATTCAAGAAGCTGCACAGGATTTTATTGGAGTCCGAGATGCGTTCGGAGCGCCTAACGGAGGACTCGGAGGAGTAGAAGATTTCCGAAGAAGAAATCACCCTACGTAGCACTCTAACTCATCTAATACTACGCATTTAGTACTGCTTATTGTTTTTTTACCAAATTAGCTATTTATGTTGTCAATCTCTTCCAATCACACCCTTTATGTTGTCAATCTCTTTTATTTATCTCACTATCAATTGTTTCAATTCCTCTTTCAAGTCCTATATCAAATTCGGACTCACATAATGTATACTTTGTGCATAGTGGCATAGAACTCTTTTTTATCAAATTCTTTCGTCAGTCAATTAAATGTAGTTTTGAATAAATATATATAATAAAAATACGATATATCAAAATTATATCATAAAAATATGCCAATTATAAATACTTCCTTAATCCCAAAATAGGGCTCTTATTCGATTTACGATGTTTGATTGAAGTTATTTTCAAATCAATATAAGTTAAAATTATTGTATAATTAAAAAATAGGAATTATATATTAAAAAAACTACATAAAATTTTTTATAAACAAGTGGTGACAATGTGACTTACATATAAAACTACCAATGTTATAAATTATTATTTAACTTTCATATTGTGCAAACAGCTTGTGGTTGATTTTATGACAATAGGGTTTTACCATGAAAGAGATTGTTATGAAATGTGTTATTCAATATGGTGGCTATAAATATATGGGCAGTACAGATTGATCATGTTATGCAAACACTTTTTGGCAGTGAATTTGTCTTCTATATATAATGTGGCAAACAAGAGTGAAAATATGGCAGTGTATAAATGTTAGCGACCTAAACAAATTTGTATGTACTTCATTAACTTCCATGAATAATATGGCAGTGAAATTAGACATACATATAAAACTGCCAATGTTATGAATTATGAATTGAATTTCATATTGTGCAAAAGCCATGTGCTTCGTTTTATGACTATTGGGTTTGAACATTCAATAGTTCGTTATGGAAACGTGTTACTGAATAGGGGCTGGTATTTTTTTGATAGTGTGGAATAATCAACTTCTAGCTACACTTTTTGGAAATGTCATATGACCATGTTTGCCTAGTGTGTTTTGGTCGAATGAGATTTATATCTAAAAATCCCAATGTAATAAATTATTCATTGAGTTCCATTGGAAGCAGACACAAAAAATCACCAAAATGACTAGTGCTTGAATAACTTTAATAAACAAAGTATGAAGTGTAAGCTCAAAGATTTTTGGTAGTGTGGAATGCTTGTGATCTAGGTATACTTTTTGGCAGTGTGTTATGTCCTATGTTTTGGCCAGTGTGCTATGTTGCACAATTTTACATAATGTTGCAGTGTATGCTGCTTACAAAGTCTTAAAATTTACAACATAATACTTTCATTATTCATTTCTTTTCAGTACCACATAAATGAAATTCAGTATATGTCTAATACTAACATCTTCTAACATTATACAAAATCAAGAAAGACCAAAAAAAGTCAAGCCCATGTTTCGCCGTGTGTTTTGGTGTAATAGATTATTCATGAAATCAGTCATACATTTTCTCGACAGTGTGGAATTCATAAATGAAAACAATCATATACATTTTTGGCAGTGTGGAATTCGTACATGAAAATAGTATGGAATTCTTACATAAAAAGAGCTATACATTTTTTGGGCAGTGTAGAATTCATACATGAAAATAGTCATACACTTTTTGACAGTGTAGAATTAATACATGTCATTACTGCCACATAAATCAATGGACATTACACTACAACATGAAATTAAGGAACACAATAATACATTTACACACTGCCGTAAGATATAACAACATATATCCATTCTACACTGCCACATAAAAAACTCACATATAAAAAATCACACTGCCCACTACACAATTATGAGTGAACAACCACACTGCCCAAAATAATCATATTTTTTGGCAGTGAATAATGAACATTTGCTGTTTAATTAAAGGACAAAATCAGAACTACAGGTACGAAACATATAGCACTGCTATTTAGAGTATTTTAATACTCTTAGAGTGCTATTTTGGTTTTTCTCCCTTTCCAAAGACCTTTTTATTTATTTGAGTCTTAGGAATAATTGTAAAGATGACAAAAATATCTTCTCTACAAAATTATTTTTATGAGAGTTAATATAAAAATAATATATTTTCGGAGTCAGTTGAAAAATCCTTTTAACTGTTCAAAATACATTCATTGAGTCAGTTACAAAAGGTGTGTCAAACATTTATCAAAATATTTATTTTGATATTAGAAAATATTTTTGGAAAGCAAAAATATTTTATTCAAATATTTTCGTGTTCATCATTTGACACACAAAATATTTTTGAGACTCATTTTCTACACCAAAAATACACTCTCATTTTTCAAATTTGAATTTGAATTATATTTGATGTTTGGGGAGCCCATTGGTGTGATTTTTATATCCCAAACAAGTGCTTAAATCCAAAATAGCACTTCACCTCGCACATATGATTGTCTACTTTATGTTTGGACATAATTGCTTAAAAAATCGATTTTTACACTTTGACAAAAATCGATTATCATTTCGTTTGCTGAAGGAATTTTGGGCAGAATAAAAAAATTGATTATTTATTTAAAAAAATCGATTTTTGGTGTTTTTTAGCACAACACCTTTTTCTAAGCTCCAATGGACATATTACTTCAACCCTTTATAAACACCTTTCCCTGGTCACTTTTTCAAATGAACAAACACTCCTAAACTCCCCTATCTTGAGGTTATAATCATCCATTCAATTTTTCCTCAAATTGATATATTTTGAGAGAAAACTAAGTGTTTTCAATAGAGTGTTTTGTCATCAATTAGAGCATTAATCATTTCACATTTCTACTCTTGTGAGAGTTTATGTTGAGAGGTTGAAGAAGATTGTTCTTCTTGTTGTACAACACTTATGTGACCTAAGTCTTGGTTGTGAAGTCTTGTAGAAGGCATATCTACGAGCGGTTGTGTCGAGGCTTGTGAGATTCAAGTTCTCGAGTTGTAAACGGTTTGTTAAGCACCCCTAAGCTTAACGGAAGTAGTGGTAGCTTCGAGAGAGTTTCTCGGGGAACTGGACTAGCTAGGAGATGGTGAACCAGTATACATCGGTGTGTTCTTTGCCTTCTCTCTTTTATTTCCGCTGCACTTACGTTTATATTATTAATCCTGCGAAAAACGGTAATCATTCTCAACAACTCTATTCACATCCTGTCTAGAGTTGCATGCATTGTCTAACAAAACCAGACCTGACCGACCCGCTAATGTAAAAGTTTTTCAAAATCACATAATTTAATATGGAATATTATGTTTTAATTATATATATTACCTTACTACTCGTTTTTAGTGTATAAAACTACATGTTCAGAAATTTGTTTAATGATATTGCATAAATATCTTACTTTTTTCAAAAAATTATGCATTTTTTCAATTCTTTATATTGATTTATATATACCTAAAAATTATTTCAAAATTTAAAATGAAATATTATAATATATTTAATACATACGGAGTATTTTTTGATATTTTAATTTTATTTGATGCGTAATGCAAGTATTAATATGAATTTAAAAATTTCAAAAATCAAAAGCATAACCCGTTGGATTGACCCGCAACCAATGACACCGAGTCATAAACATATAGTTCTCAATCAAAACCCGAAATAATCCAAACTCGAAGTGATTAAATCCGAACCCGACCTGAACAATCGATTTGCAGTTCTAGTAAGTTTCCTATCATTGGTATTTCCGTGAAGATGAGCCCAAGCCCATCGCATGAAATGCAAATAATGTATAGTGATGCAGTGTAAGATTTTGCAGCCCATTTAAAACATAAGCCCATATCCATAATCCATTCTCAGGGAGACGTGTACTGGCACTCTTTCATTTCACGGACTGTTCTTTCACCCTCGACGCACTTTCTGGAAATCGGCACTGCCCTCTTCTTCCTTCTCGCCGGGCACAGTAACACCGAGCCTCCGCCGCCGGACCTCCGGCTTCCGCCTCCGCACATTGATTCAGGATACACTCGATTCAGGTGACTTTTCAATCGATTTTATTCTCTCAATAACCCGCAAAGACGTTGAATTGCACTCTGGTTGGGGATAGAGTTGGATGAGAATCTGAGATGCCTCCGAAGCAGCAAGCGAAATCCGATGTAGCGAAGAAGCAGAAGGTCGTAGAGGACAAGACCTTCGGTTTGAAGAATAAGAACAAGTCCAAAGCCGTCCAGAAATACGTCCAGGCCCTCAAGCAGAACGTCCAGCCTAAACCTGACCCCAAAAAGGTCGATGCTAAGGTATGCGATGAGCAGATGAGATCGATTTTTTGAATTGATTTTTTGAATTGCAGAATTGGCATTTGTATTTGTGCATTTTTTTGTGTCCTTATGGCTTATTGAGCTTTCGTCAGCTAATCTTTTTATGCCATTTGTGATTTTGTGCAGAAAAAGAAAGAAGAAGAGAAGGCCAGGGAGAGGGAGCTCAATGAATTGTTTAAGGTTGCTGTTAGTCAGCCGAAAGTCCCACCTGGTAAATGTTTTTCTATCATTTTTGAACTGGTACTGAATTTCTGAGGATGAATGCAGACGTTAGAAAAAGTGGTTCCCTGCCAGAGGAGATGGATATTTTTATTATTATGTGGGCAGAGATTACATGTGCAAGAAGGGGAAGCCCATGGAGAATTCTAAGTTTGATGGAAAAGGCAGAGTGGAGAGTTTGTGATAAAAGGAGGCTAGAAATGTTTGTCCTTTTATGAGAAGAAATTAATGTTCATTTATAAGAAAACTACTAAGGATTAGGATCCAAAAGTGTCTATCTCTGCTTCAGGTTTGGACTGGTGCAGTATTGGGGGTTGTAGAACTAGTTCTAATTACATTTGTTTTTGCCATTTAGATTCTTTTTCTAAAGTATATTGCTCTCTCTATCCTGCTATAATGTTCCACAATTGACCGGACACAGATTAAGAAAAGTAAAATTTTGTGGTTAAAAGTGGTGCAGAGGAGAGAAATATAGCTACAAAAACTTTTCCAAAAGTGGAACATTTTTTGGGACACACAAAAGGAAATGTGGAACATTATTGCAGGACGGAGGGAGTATTGGTTTGTTGACATGGCATTGGAAGTTGATTAGAAAGAGATGTTCCTTTAGAGGTTATAGTGTGTGATAGACACATATGTAATAATAATGTTAATAATGCCAATTGTTAAGTCACCTTGGATGTATTGCATGTTAATGTATGTGAAGTCGTGTTTTGCAAGTTCCACCCCTGCACTCTCAGACTCTTTTTGAGAACTCTTGAATTTGTTGCTTTTGTTAATTTTTTGGATGATATTTCTTCCTTACCATTGATCGTTGAAAGTAATATTGCTTCCAATGTCATTGAATATATTAAGGAGCCATTTGTAATATTATGGTCAGGTGTGGATCCAAAATCAATACTATGCGAGTTCTTCAAAGCTGGACAGTGTACAAAAGGTTTCAAGTGCAAGTTCTCACATGATCTGAATATTCAGAGAAAAGGAGAAAAGATTGACATTTACAGCGATAAACGTGATAATGGTGATTAACTTGTTATAGTCATTGTAATGTAGCATTTACTCATTTTTGGCTGTATCTTTGTTGATCTTCCTATTTTATTTGAATTTGTTTTTTTACTTGATTTTTGCTTAAAAAGAAACAATGGAGGACTGGGACCAAGAGACTTTGGAGAAGGTTGTTGCATCAAAAAGCGAGGAATATAACAAAAACAAACCCACAGATATTGTAAGATTTTTTATGTTCCTGTTGTACTTTGTTTTTATATTTTTTGTATGGTTTGTCTGCATTATTAATATAAGTTAGGCAAAGGGGATTATGATTAAACTTTTATGCTGTTAACTCTTTCCATGCTTTAGTTGTAATAGTTAATTTCAAACAAGAGATGCAAAAATGATCAAGATATACCTACCACTCTGCATATTCTCTATGTTTCTCATATCTCACATGAAAGGTGGGTGGGGGTGGGATGTGATGCATTCTTTATAGAATACTTTGGGGCACCCAAGATTAGTTGGTTTTCAAGAATTAGATCAATGGTTAAGAATTGATCAATGCTCTTGGTCACAAACACAAAAAAGATCGCTTGCTACTATCCATAGATATTGCATCATTTCTTTAAAAGACACCACAATAGTCCTTATTAATTGTTATGACTCCCTCCGTTCCACTATTTTTACCCTTTTTACTTTTTGTTTGTCCCATTATTTTTATCTCCATATTGTGCTTATTTATTCTCTTTTTTTCCCAATATGGACAAAAGCTTTTGTGCATTTCTGCATTTCACTTTTGTGCATATCGTACAATTATGAAATGTGCAATCACTTTTTAGTCTAACATGGGCCTTAAAGAGTCACACATTTGCAAATGCTTTTGCAGCTATAAGTTGATTAAACCGAGTTGATTTCTTAGGGATAATGTTGAGAAGTCACCATCCATAGTTCTTATGTTCAGGTTTGTAAATACTTTTTGGAAGCTGTGGAGAAGAAGCAATATGGATGGTTTTGGACCTGTCCCAATGGTGGTAAAGACTGCCACTATCGGCATGCTCTTCCCCCAGGTTATGTTCTGAAATCACAGATGAAGGCTTTGTTAGAGGAAGAAACAACAAAAGTATCTATAGAGGAAGAGATTGAAGANAGTCTAACATGGGCCTTAAAGAGTCACACATTTGCAAATGCTTTTGCAGCTATAAGTTGATTAAACCGAGTTGATTTCTTAGGGATAATGTTGAGAAGTCACCATCCATAGTTCTTATGTTCAGGTTTGTAAATACTTTTTGGAAGCTGTGGAGAAGAAGCAATATGGATGGTTTTGGACCTGTCCCAATGGTGGTAAAGACTGCCACTATCGGCATGCTCTTCCCCCAGGTTATGTTCTGAAATCACAGATGAAGGCTTTGTTAGAGGAAGAAACAACAAAAGTATCTATAGAGGAAGAGATTGAAGATAAGGTAATTGGTTATGCTTTTTTTCAATATTAATGCTCCCTTGTCCCAAAACCTGAGCCCTGTTTGAGTAAGATACACCTTTTTATTGCTAGCCAGTAGCCAACTCAATCAAGGAACACGCTTTTCCAATTTATGTGTGGTTACTTCTATGCTTTAAACTTTTTTTCAAAGATTGTTTGGAGTAATTGACTTCTTCACATGAAATTTAGTTGATAACTAAAGTGACGATACTACTAAAAAATGCTCTCTTTTAAGACCAAACAAGGTTTTGAATCATGGTTCTTTTTTAGTGCAGATGATTTTTAATTAGTTTTCCTGATATGAGATCTGACCCTTATGTGTACAGCGTTCAAAATTAACCACATCAACTCCTATGAATCCTGAACTCTTTATGGAATGGAAGAGAAAGAAGCGGGAAGAAAGAGATGCTAAGGTGGCATTGCAAATGGCAGAAAGAGCCAAAAATGATCGCATGAGGTAGAGATTGCACCGCCACCCCCACCCCTCTCCCCCCCAACACGATCTCATATTTGTTCTTTATGAGTTATGCGGCTCAAATGTTCTCTGAGTATATTATAACTAGACTTTTATGTGTCACAGTGGACGTGAGCTATTCATGTCAGACTCGAGCTACTTCGTGGATGATATTGGTGCATATGATAAATATGACAGGGAAGAAGAGTCAAATGTCACTGAACGGAAGGTGATTTGTGTTACTATTGCCCAATCTCTTTGCACTTTTAGCATTTTTGTTTTTTCACTAACTACTCCATCCCTAAATAAACTTCACATTTCGATTTATGATGTTTGGCTAGAATTATTTTCAATTCAAATTACTTAAATATTGGTGTAAAATTGAATAATATAATTCTTATTCAGTATATTTAACAACTACATGAAAAGATTTGCATGGTATAAACCAATAGGTGACTTCACTATTTTTTTTTCAATTAATTAAAGCAAATAAATATAGAAATAAGTATAGAATATATAGTTTGACCATGTAAGTATTTAAATTGACGTTTATTTAGGGACACAGGAAGTGGGAGTAAATAACATAATACTTCCTCCATCCCTGAGTATTTGTCCACTTTTGACTTTTTACGGTCAAAATTGGTAAACTTTGACCTTAAATTAAATAAAAATGATATTAGATATTGATACAAAAGAGTTTTATTAGATTTGTTATACTCCCTCTGTCCATGTAAGATGTTCTCAATTTGACTTTTCACGGATTTTTAGGAGTGTTAAAAAGACTCGTGACTTTCCCATTTTGCCCCTCCTTGCTCTGCCTTTGACCAGTTAACCCGTTCTTTGTTACCACCGCACATAACCTCCCCACCACCGCCCTGCTACCACCATTGCCACCCCACTTTCACCGCCAGCCCCACCTTCACCCTAGTCCTCACAATCATCGTCAACCCCACCACCGCTTGCGGTCTCACCATCGACGTGATTGTGGGCTAGATCTAGAAAATAGATGGATGAAAAGGAAGGAGAGAGAGAAGAAAAAGAAAACAAGAAGAGAAGAAATATAGATCTAGACTCATCGTCGCCGCCGCTGCCGCCATCAACCCCACCATCGTCGCCGCCATCTTCATTCCCCCGCCATCGCCGCCGTCCTCAGCCCCGCCATCGCCGCCACTGCCCTTACCCTCACCATCGCAGATCTAGACGGCGTAGAAGAAGAAGAATACGGAGGTGAAGAAGAAGAAAGAGAAGAAACGAGAATGAGAAGAAAAATAAAGAAAAGAAGACAAGAAGAAGAAGAAAGGGAAGATAGAAGAAATCTGACAGACCAGTGGACGAAATTGGGGAGAAAGAAATGAAGAAAGAAAAAAGAAAGAAGAAAGTGGCGGACGAAATTGGGAAAAAAAAGAAAGGAATGGAGGGGTGTTTAAGGTATTTTGTGTGTTAAAATATGTAATGAGAAGATCTATGGCGGACAAATAAAAAGGGTTAATAGGAAGATCTAGGGACGGAGGGAGTATTAAATATTTTCAAAATATTATTTTATTTAATTAAAATACGATATATATTTTATTTAATTATAGGTCAAATGTTGAAATTAGTTGATCGAAAAAAGTCAAAACTGGACAAATACTCACGGACTGAGTTAGTACTATGTATCTAAAAGGAGGACAAAATCTTCATTTTGATTTTGTTTATCATCTTCATCTTATTACAAACTACATTTTGCTACTTTTTTCATCAATAACTGATTCATCCGGTTCATTGTATTAAGTTAGTGTTTGGTAAATAACTACTCCACAATTTATATGATCATATGACCAATGCACAGAAATAGGATGACACCAAATCGACTGTTATCTACTTGATTCATAATTATTTGAGTAGATGCAAGTGATTAATGGTTGTGTTTTATTTTTGGCATTTATAACAATAGTGGTGAAGTGTATAGCTTATGTTAGTGAGTACAAAAGTGTTGAAGTTTCTTAAACTAGCAAATAGCCAAAATTTAAGCAATAGCTGCTTGCTTCTTGCTTGTGGTGTTTAGGTAGCACCAAAGTGTATTATAATGGAATGTAAATATCAATTGCCGAAATTCAATTTCTTGCAAACTCTCTTTTAACTGCTGGAGTAGAGGCTACTGAATAGGCATAAGTTCAATTTTTTTCTCTCACTATTAAGCGTAGCTTCATGAAATCATACTCTGTGTGTGTATGTGTGTGCTTTGTAAACCTATCAGGTTGACAATGGTACCTCAAAGGATGAGGCAAGCTGCTCAACCTCGGCACCAAGCACATCCAATGCCGAAGATGTTCTTGATGGGGACGACGATGACGATGATGATTTGGATGATGACGAGTTGAATGAGTTGGAGGCAAGTCTTGCCAAAACAACATTACAGATCAACGAACCCGGTGGTCATGCATGAGGCAAGATACTGAATCGGTGATATCCGTAGTGCTTTTTTGAGATTATTCTCATTGTTCTGATCGATCTCGAGGACTATGATTTTTGGCACTCCATATTTCATTTCTTTATTACGGAGTATCTTCCCGATCTTTTTTTGCATTCAAAAACGACACTAATGGATTTAGGCGTGAATGGGAATTTCAGAATATGGTCCTCGGGTCATATCACACTGGAAGCCAATCGTTGGATTTGCATCTGTGCATAACCTTTTAGATTTGCATCTGTGAAAAACCTGATCGTTTCGTGCTTTTGACAATGTCTTCGCGTCGAAGTAAATAACAGACTTTTTTCCCCTTCTTATTTTCATGCTTCTTAGATTCTATATAATTTTTGGTAGGTTATGCAACATTGCTTTCACTTATGGTTTTAAGAGCACACATTTAAATAGGATCCAAACACAACACATTATGGAAAAATTTCAATTGGGAAATGAGAATTTTGATCACAACCTCAGGGTGTGGTTTTCTTGTGTCTTTTTAGCCCTAAATGGCATTGATGGTATACACTCCTTTGTTCCTCAAATAATCTCCCGGTTTGACCTGGCTATAATATCTAAAAAAATGTTGGTAAATGAGCAATTGAAGTTTGTTTAGATGCAAAAAGAAAGATGTGGGCCACATACTCATCGGAGTATATTCTTATTGATAATAAATATGAAAAGTGGGAAGTGTACTCTCTCCGTAATGATCATTATGACTTTTTTGATTCAATGTATCTAAAAAGTCACAATACTCAATAAAAAAATGAGGGAGTATGATGCTTCACTACACTAAACTCACAATGAGTGTGATTTCACCGTAATAAATACAATCGTAATTCACGTACTACAAAAATCTTAAAGCTTAAATTTATTTCTCCACACGGGGCTTCCGGAATTGCACGGCGGCCTCGGGCTATTGGTGGCTATGAACTTTGTGTTCCCTCTCCATTCTCTTCTTCTGCAAAGGTTTTGGATGCTTGACAGTAGTAGGGACAAGTTTGCACATAAACTTGAAGAGTTGCTTAAAAACCAGAACCTTAATCTGCCCTCTCTTAGGCGGGAGATTCACTTTCTCCATCTTCTTTGGGTTTGGGTTTGGGTTTGGGTTGGACAAATTTCTGTTGTCTCACAAGAAGGTGTGGGTCTTATATAGTAGTGTAGTTGTGAGGGAAATGGACACTCATAAATGGGGAAAAAGCATTTTCCGAGTTTTACTTGGTCAATTTGGATTCTAGTAATTCTACACGGTACACGCGGAAGAAGTGTTCTAAAAATACTCCCACGGTCACCCAAAAAAAAGTAACTTTATTCTTTGGAAAATTTGCACTATTATTTATGAAATTCTTTGATTTTACATAAATATTTCGAGATTCATTACATAATATTTTTGAGACTTCTAAAATCTGTATACATTTACATCGATATTTCAAAAATAACACATGTTTACATTGATGTCTCAGTACTTGGAGTCAAAGATATAAACATTTATCAATTCTCAGAGCACTGATGTAAACATATGAAAATGCTAGGAGTATCGGTGTTATTTATTGATTTTTGGAGTATTTATGAAAAAAATGGTGTAATTCCAAAAGTATTGATGTGATTTTTTTTCTTGATCTTTTGACCTTCACGTAGTTTAATTTAAGGTGTACGGTTAATACTCAAGATTTGTTAAGAAAAGAGAGATTTTGTGAGACACATTTATTATTACTTCTTCCGTTCTACTTTAAGTTACAAATTTATTATTCACATGGTCAAATTTAACCACGTTTTAAATCTATTTTCTACCTATTTGATAAAATAATATAGTCTTGTACTCTTGTTACCTATTATTATGTACTCTCTCCGTCCCAAATTATAATGCATGTTCACTATTCACAAAGTCAAACTTCATTCACTTTCTTTCTCTATTTTCGTTAGCAATTTCGTTAGGGTACCCCAAGCTTAGTGTGAAATTGGGATTAAGGTTAGGGTACCCCAAGGTTAGTGTGAAAGCAAGAAAAAGAGAGGTCTAATGGCTGGATAAAGACTTGAAGACCAGGTGTCCATATCTAACATATATCTAATTGATGTTTCCCTTCATTTGTACATAAGCTCTTCTTGGAGCAAACAAGAAGGGCCAACTTTGTCTCCTTGTCTTCATATTAAGACANGTTAGGGTACCCCAAGCTTAGTGTGAAATTGGGATTAAGGTTAGGGTACCCCAAGGTTAGTGTGAAAGCAAGAAAAAGAGAGGTCTAATGGCTGGATAAAGACTTGAAGACCAGGTGTCCATATCTAACATATATCTAATTGATGTTTCCCTTCATTTGTACATAAGCTCTTCTTGGAGCAAACAAGAAGGGCCAACTTTGTCTCCTTGTCTTCATATTAAGACATAAAACAAAAGCTCAAGTCTGTTTTCTTCCCTTCTTCCAACTAAGACAAAAGAACAGATTAGTGGTTTGAAGTCCAAAAAATGCTTTAAAAAAAAAACTCTAACATCCCCTCAAATGCACGGGAGTTTATTGGAAAGTGAATGTCATATGGATTTGAAGTCGTTGTCAACGGATTCTAATATCATGTTATGAAACTAACACACTCAGAAGTTCAATACACTAAGGAAGGTAAAGACAGTAAGGCTCATCCACTAGTAGAATGCAAACGACCCAAACAAACAAGAAGAGTATGACTTGCTGCTAAGAAAAGATCACCGAGATTTGAGAAAATAAAGCAAATTAATTGAAGGCAAATTGTGATTGTTCTGTTTTGTACAAATCTATATCATACAAACATACAATACCCATTCACCCAAATGATGATGAGGGATTCGCAACATTGAGTTCAACCAGACATCATTTCATTTCAGTGGGAAAACGACGGTATAAACCAGAAGAAACACTAGTATGAGAATTGTCACTGCAATAGTGAACTGTGGACTGGTCCATAGATTAAGGTTCAACTTCTCTGATCTCTTGATGGGATCAACTTCTTCAGATGGCGGGTAGTTAGAACGGGTAGGATTCCAGGTCACATACCTGTCTGGTGAAAACTGTGAGAAGAACGTCTTCTTCCCATTCTTCTTGAAGCTAGACCAGGCCTTGTCCCAATCTATTGACAACTTATCATCATCATCATCTGCACATGCAAGAGATAGTTTGAGCTAAATACCACTTCTAATTATAGTCCTACTTGAACTAATTATGTTTAAGTAGACATAAAGTAATGGCTTGCTCTTGTTTTTCCATTATTAGGAGTAATTTTAAGTAACTAGGTCCAAACAGTCTCTGTACTTCCAAGTAGTGGTATTGTGATTATGGTCTGCAGATGCACACCGTCACACCCTATTGTCATTCTACTAGGTTTGCTGTTATTGTTGAGTANTTATCATCATCATCATCTGCACATGCAAGAGATAGTTTGAGCTAAATACCACTTCTAATTATAGTCCTACTTGAACTAATTATGTTTAAGTAGACATAAAGTAATGGCTTGCTCTTGTTTTTCCATTATTAGGAGTAATTTTAAGTAACTAGGTCCAAACAGTCTCTGTACTTCCAAGTAGTGGTATTGTGATTATGGTCTGCAGATGCACACCGTCACACCCTATTGTCATTCTACTAGGTTTGCTGTTATTGTTGAGTAACTAGGTACTTATTGTCTAATGTCTTGCTCAAAAGCACTTACTTTCGCACCCTAGAAAAGTCAATATGCATTCCATATTTTAGGTGAGTTTGGTTTGCATTTCTGAGGTGATTTTAAGAATCACAATCGCCTTTTCAGGTTATTTTGATTGTATTTTGGCCAAAACAAGAAGCTAGCTCCTTTAAGTATTAACGTATACACATTTCTTTTCCGACTGTTTTGAAATAAAATTTTAACTTGTTCCGTTTAATTTTCTTTTTTCGTGTGTCTCGAATTAAAGTTTACACTTCTCTCACTTCTATTTCTTTTAATAAAATTATAACCGCACACTTTTCAATATTCAAAACTTTCATTATACCCCATGAAGTCAAACTGTAAACTTTATTAGTTTATTGCGAGGCGATGTAAGTACGTGATTCTAGTTTCGAAAATGAGATTTTGAAAATCATCCTACCCCTTGATTAGCAACTTATTCTAGTGATTTTCATATTTACATAACTCAAACCCCAGAATCAACTCTTTTAGGAAATGCAAACCAAATCTACCCTTAACCTCTAGAATGTCAAAAACCACACATTTACACAGCCATCAATACTTCTTTCATAGCCATTCCAGCTTCATAAATAGATGCTTCTGAGCAAAACTTCTAACATAAGGCATTAGATCATATATGCAACCCAGTCAGCAGCAGCTAAGTGATCCTTTACATTGCGTTTGGTTACTTACTTTCAAGGGAGTAAATTGGAATTCTTAACTAGGACAGTAGGTAAGAAACCCAGATTTTACTACTAGCAAGGGAAAGTGGTATGTTTTCCATAAAAACCAAGGTCATTACCAGGGGTAATCAAGTTTCGGGCTCCACAGAAAGTTAGATAATTTATATGGGGCAGTGCGAGTGCTTTAAAGAAAGAACGACACGTATATGGAGTTGCTGAAGGTAATTGGAAAAGAAAATGGAAATAACTATAGAGGATACTTGGAGTTTAATTTTTTTTATAATTGCTGAAGCTCCCATTATTTCTTCATTCATGTAATACAACTAATCAAATTATATAATTCTTGATCATTTTCAAGGTAAAGCTAAAGCAAACAACAACAAAAACAACACTATATAATCCCAAGTCCATTGAGGTGTTGGGTAAAGATGTACATAGTCTTACCCTGTAAAAGCATAGAGACTATTTCTACTAGACCCTAGATGCATTACTACATTTACTGCCCAAAACTTTACAGAGAGTGAAAGAGCAATGGAAATTTAATGTCCCATTTTGATTTAGTCCATTATGTGTCCGAAACTAAAACATTGTCAAAGAAAATAACTTTTCTTAGCAATTTTCCTCTTTCCCTAACATATTTTAGGATTCTAATACATCTTCCAATTTCCCATCAAAGGCCAAGTAAAAGCAGATCCATTAAAAAAGGGCCATAAATCACAAACTAAAATCCCTTCTGCACTATGCACATCTAAATCTTTCCAACAGAACAGCTCAAATTATGCTAATTGTGTCTCCTAAACCAGACAACACACTTCATAAATAAATAAATCAAAAAGTAAACTGATGAACTGAAAAAGTAACAAGAGAAATGTCAAGGAACCAACTCAACCAAAAGCTCAAGCTTGTGGTTCTGGCCCGTGGTTCTGGCCCAGGAATGATTGTTATATACTCTAACACGCCCCTCACGTGCAGGCGTGACATTTTTTAGGTGAAACCTTAGTTTTTTTAAAGTGGGTGGCGGTGAGTTTCGAACTCGTGACCTCTTAGTCAACGAGGCACTGATACCATGTCAAGGAACCAACTCAACCAAAAGCTTAAGCTTGTGGTTGTGGCCCAGGAATGATTGTTATATACTCTAACAAAGAAATTACACTCACTGGTATTATCTCCGTTCCGCTGGGAGTGTCTTCTGGAACAGAGAGGCTTAAGGGCGGTTTGGTGGCTGCGAAATATAGGGTTGGACCAGGGAGAAGAAGACACTGAAGAAATGACAGCACAATGAAGACGTATATCCATTTGGGCTTGGGATCCTCCTCCTCCTTCTTCCCTTCCCTTCCGTCGCGGGATTTGGTCACCAATATTCTTCCTCTTCTAAGGGGAACCACATTTCTCTCCTACACTCCAACCCGAACCCAATCTTATCAGACCCCACCGACCAATAAAATATCCGAATCTGAACCGAGAAAAATAATTTGAACTTGACCCGAAATTTTTTACCTGAACCTAACATCTGATCGGGTTGGGTGTGAGACCCGACCAAACCCGAACCCGCACCTGACCCGACACAAACCCGAATAGTTTATAACATGAAAGCTTATCTATCAATATAATGAACATTTTATATAATCACTTGATAAGGTGCTACAATATCAAGTATGTCTTTTATAATTATTTTTATACGGAGTAATTTCTTAATAAAAAATGAGATACAAAAAAAGAGACACAAAAAAAATTAGATTTAATCTTTTTAAAATTATTGGGTACGTCGAATTGATTATTAATTAAATTACATATTCGAGTTCGGGTTTCGGATCTAAATGTCGGATTTGGGTCGGGTTTTGGCTTAAAAAGTCAGGTTTCAGGTTTTAGTTTTTAAAGTCAGGTCGGGTTCGAGTACAGTACTATCTAACCCGAACCTGGGCCGCTGCCACCCTATTCTCTCCCTTTAACTATGGGTAAGTGAGAATATCACAAATCGGGACCAAACCATTTTTAAAATGATACGGGGCGACTTCTCAAAAAATAAATAGAGAAAATACATAATCAAATTGTTATCACTAAAATGTTAAACTAATGAATTAATTATACATTTTTATTTATTATTTTTCACTTAATAGTAAATTTAAGTCATAATCCATATTTATTTGATGTGACTTTAACATACTTAAACTTATACGGAGTAATTTTATACGATTAGTACATTATTACCTTGGAATACAACTAAAATCATATGGAGTAATTTTATTTGTTAAATGTTCAAACTACAATTATATTTTATTAAAAATTGGTAAGTAAACAGTACACTTGTTCAATTAAAAGGCATAAAAATAATGGCGCACCAATTTTTTACTTACAGCGTTTGTTTGTTTATTACAGAGTAATAAAGATATTTTCAAAGCGTCAAAATTTTATGATATGGTTTGGCATTAGAATGGCATGGTATCATCCATGTTTCGAACAACATGGTAGCATATGGATTTAAACATAAAATCAAAATTGTATCGAATCATTTAAATAGTAACAGTATGGTACAAGTTCTTTAAAAATATCGAACCGTCCCAGACCATGCCACCCCTACCTTTTGCACCTTTGCTTGATCATTTTCTTTTGGACGGATTCCGGAACCGAATCTCGACCAACCAGACCGAAGTTGTTGGACACTTTTCATTTTAAAATTAAAAATTTAGAATTAAGAAACAATTCTAACATTTTAGAACTGAAAAATTTCAATTTTTAAAGGTTATTTTTCAAATTATTTAAGCTCAATTTGCAATATTTACAAACAAAAAATGTTATGGAGTAAGATATACGGAGTATGATTTTTTTTAGAAAAGAAAAAAATTAAAATTGGAACAGAAATGAGTCGAGGACTGAAACCAGAAGCGTAACACCCTGCTTGGTTCCGGATAAGATTCCGCTATCCCGAGAATCGGAACCGAACCAACACCGTGTTCATGCCCAAAAAACAATGTTTTTCCAAAAACCCTACTTCCCCCATCCCTAAAGAATGAACTCCCGTTCCACAAAGATTTTCACATTCACTATTTCAAGATCAAATTATAATTTTTCTTTGCTTATTTACATTACTCATTCACTAGAATAATACATATAACATTGTCACTTATTTCATTAAACTTTGATATGAGAATAAAGGAACATTAGATTTGAGAAAACTAAATTCGTACCGATGCAATGCACGAGCAGAGAATTAACAATAATTCTTTACAATGCCTTTCAAGTCATTATGATTTAAAGTTTGGAGCCAAACACTCTAGTTAACAATATCCAACAATGTCATATTTAAAATTTGGTTATTTCTAATTTATACTCCCTCCATCTCGTTAAAATTGCAAAACCATAACCATAATGACAATCTTCAGAGCAATCATTTGGAGCTTTTGCCCAGTAGTATGCTCTCGAGAGGCTCTCCTGCGTCTTGTGTGAGAGAGACTGAAAGAGCAGCATAAATGAGAGACATTTTAAAATATGATTTGTTCTTTCTTCTTTATTTTTCAATAATGAGACCTATTTTAAAATAGAGGAATGTTAAAGTTACACCACTTCAATCGGGACACCTGCGATGCTCCGTTTAAAAAATATACCTATTTTTTATGTAATTTTTAAATATTAAATTTGTTTTAAAATTCCACGTCAATTTTTATATAAATTTAATTGAAAAGAATTTCATTCAAGTCTCATAAAAAACTGCATGTGATTTAAATTGGGATGGAGTAAAAGAGAAAAAATAAAATGGAAAACATTTTTTTATACGTCCAAAAAGAAAATGTGTAAATTTTTTGGACGGAGTAAATTATTCCCTCTTTTAATTACTCGTAAAGTCGTAATTAATATCGACATGCGCCAATGGTTGGTTGTGCATTGAGATGTGGCACCATCTCTCTTCAAAAACTTGTTTAAAAAATTCTAGTCTTTAACTTTTTGGGGCGACGATTTGTTAGATATGCTCATAATTTTTTTGGAGAGAAAGATAGAGATCGATAAAGGACATCGCAATCTTGATTTATGACGATTGACAATTGATGATGAAGACCGGCGGTGGCGCATGGTGATCGTAAAAGAAGGAAGGCTAAGCTTTTTAGAACATCGATCTCAATTCTGATATCATGATACAATTTGCACTATGTTTGGTTCAAGGAATTAGAGGAAAAAGAAAAGAAAATATAGTAGAAAATAGTTTTTCATATTTGGTTAAGAAAAAATTATCATAAATAATCCAACCTTTTCACAATTTTCAAAAATAATGCGGAGTATCACTTTTCATAACATGGTACCATAATTAATACGAAGTATATTTTTTTATGAGACGGTATTAAAAAATGTCAAGATATGAAACTACCTTATTAATAAATAATATTTAACACGGCAATTTAATTACCATAATTACCTTTTACTTAGAACTTGAATTTATTACACACGATACATTATAATTCATAAATATTTATTACCTTCTATACGAGGTCACTATTACATTTAACACTTACATATTAATGTTGAGCACTTACCTTTTGTGATTGAAGACCATTTAGACGGGAAAATGTAAAGGGAATTCCTCTCTTTTTAAATATAGTATAGATTCTTTGAACCAAACATAGTGTTGATAATAATTTAGTGTTATTGAATAATGAGGAATACATCAATATATTTAGAGAATATATGGAGAATTCTAACCAAGGTAGAATAATGAATTATGGTAACAATAAAATAATGAAAGCCCGAGTAATATTTTATTTCATATTAACCCTATTATTTCTAATAATATTCATTTTTTGTTTTCCAGAATAGAAAGAGAAATATTTTTTTGGGAAGTTCAAAAAAAAACATAAATAAAAAAAGAAATAAAAAAAGAAAACGGAAAAAAGAAAAAGATATGAAAAACAAATTTATAGAATTTTTTTAGCTATTGAATGTGCTGGTTGTTATGAAAAAATATGAATTATTCATTTATCAATTAATTAGGTCATGCTCCATCATAAGTTGCAGGAACAAATTGTCCATCATCATACATCACCATCAAGTTGCCATTTGTATAGTATGTATACTATTTGTAATAGTGTTAGCACTAAACCTCTCTACTATAAATAAGAGGCTTAGGATCCCTGTAAATTACCATTAAGAATAAGAAAAAGAGTGAGAAGTTAATAGAGAGAAGAAACCAGAAATATATTATATCTATTCTAATAATCTCTGAGTAGTTTTTCTCTCATTTTATAACACGTTATCAGCACGAATTTGCTCAAAAATCTCAGAATCCTTGTTCTTCTCAGAAGTTTCCATGGCCAACATCACCAAAAGAGAGTTCGACATTCTTGATTTATCCGGTCAAAGGTACCTGGAATGGAGGGTTGATGCCATCGCTCACCTCAAGGCAAATGACCTAGAAAATACAATTGCTGAAAATAATACAGCAACATCTCAGCAAAAGGCAAAAGCCATAATTTTCCTTCGCCACCACCTTCATGAAAGTTTAAAATCTGAATATTTATTGGTGGAAGATCCGAAGGAATTATGGGATAATCTCCAAGAGAGATATGGACATCAACAAAAAGTCCTATTGCCAAGAGCTCAATACGAATGGATCAATTTAAGATTCCAAGATTTTAAGTCCGTTTGTGACTATAATTCTGCTATTTTCAAAGTCACGTCCACATTAAAATTATATGGACATAATATCACTGATCATGACATGTTGGAAAAAACTTTTTCCACTATGCATATGTCAAATGTGATATTACAGCAACAATATAGAGAAAGGGGCTTTAAAAAGTATTCTGAGTTAATCTCAGTATTACTTGTTGCTGAGCAGAATAATGAGCTCTTAATGAAAAATCATAATATGAGGCCTACTGGTTGTACACCTACAAATTTTGGTCATCCTGATCGTGGTTCAGCACCGGAATCAAATGTTGTCCAAGGTGGTGCACGTGGACATTTTAAACGTGGCCGCGGAAATAACCGCAACAAAGGGCCAAATTGGAGCTATAAAAATCCAAATGGATCATCCTCCAAAGAAAAGGGAAAACTCAAACCACCACAGCCTAAAACTCATGAAAGGCCAAAACCAAGTGGTGAATGCTACAAATGTGGCATAAAAGGACATTGGGCTAATGAATGTCGAACGGCAAAACACTTGGTAAAATTATACCAAGCTTCCACAAAAGGAAAAGGAAAAAATGTGGAGGCTAATTATGCTGATGATATCAATCCAATTTTGCCTAAATTTGACGTGTCCGATTTCTACATGGATGATGCTGAAATTGGTGATGAGGTGGCCTTTGGTGGAACTACTACTGTTTAAATATTTTAATTTACG